CTTCTGATCAATCAGGTTTTCCCAGTATTTGCTCACAGCTGCATGCTAGGCGTTGAACGCGGGGATTTCTGATTCCCCTTACACGCGCGTGGATATGCCGCGGGGCGTTTTCTTCCAAACGCCCCACGGGCAGAGAACACTGACTTTCATGATAGTGAGATCATTTCCCAAATTAATTGATTCACTAACCCAAAAGAAGAAGATGTTGATGACAGTGGGAGGCAGGGGTCACTCTCCCTTGCACGAAAAAAGCAAGAGCCGTTCTTATGATCTCTCTCTCTCCCCATAATACAGTCAAGCCCTTTCCAGCATGCGCGATCCGCCCCCGCCGCTTTGCACCTTGCAAATGCAAAAAACCCGGGATTTTGCATTTGCAAGGTACAAAGCTGCGGCGGCAGATCACGCGTGCTGGAAAGAGCTTGACTGTATTACGGGGAGAGAGAGAGAGAGAGAGATCATAAGAACGGCTCTTGCTTTTTTCTTGCAAGGGAGAGAGTGACTCCTGCCTCCCACTGTCATCATCATCTTCTTTTGGGTTAGTGAATCAATTAAACCTTTCATGATAGTGATATCGTTTCCCAAATTTCCCTTAAATCAGGGAAGAAATCACAAAAAAACCTTTGGACTGAGAATAGGCCTGTTCCTACGATGCCATTTTTGTTCACTGCAGTGTGAAAAGTGTGAAAAAACACATTTCTTTTTCTTCATCTTCTTGTTCCCTATTTACTGGTCTCTTTCAAAGAGGAAATTGTGAACATCAAACTTATTCTCAACTGTCCTAGTGAAAGTTTTTATTGGTATCTATTTTTATTTTTGAAATTTACCAGTAGCTGCTGCATTTCCCACCCTCGGCTTATACTCGAGTCAATAAGTTTTCCCAGTTTTTTGTGGTAAAATTAGGTGCCTCGGCTTATATTCGGGTCGACTTATACTCGAGTATGTACGGTAATCATTTTCAGATGACTTGATTCCTTCCTCACTGCCTAACGTTTGAGGAAATATTTCAAGATTTAAAACGTTATGTAATAGAAAATGCCTTGTTGGGGTAGCATTAGACAACTGGATAAAGAAGTTGGATCTGAAAGGGTAGTTCATCTATCATTGTATATTAAAATATATCTTGAACAGAAGTGTAGATTTATTTTTTAAACTTGATTACAATTGCTTTCATTTTTGTTGTTATTTTAGTATGGTGAATGGCTAGATACAATTACTAAACAAGTTATTTGTTAATCATCTTTTTAGGGAATTACTGAACATGTAAAAGAATGTTGTAATGAAAGTAGCCATGTGAACCTTGGTTTCAGGGGTGGGATTCTACAGGTTCGCACCTATTCGCTAGAACCGGTTGTTAGCATTTTAAGCAGTCCGGAGAACTGGTTGTTAGAAGAAATAACTGGCCTAATCCTGTAAGGAAGGCAGGAAGGAAACATTTTGGTGTTGCTTACAGAAACTGCCTCTCCATTAACCCTTATTACATTCTTGGCAGGACTAGACTTCCTGTCTCAGGAACTTCTCTGGAGTTTTTTCCCCTCCTTTGCTGGTACTTTGCTTGTGTGGAGTGACCATTCAAAGTTACAATGGCACTGAACAAAGTGACTTATGACCATTTTTCACACTTACAACTGTTGCAGCGTCCTCACAGTCATGAGAGGCCAGGCAAAGAGATGCGTGCCTCGATGTGAGTGATGTTGAGTTGGCCACACCAGCCAGTCACATTTCCACCAAGCCACACCCACCAACAAAGCCGGTTGTTAAAAAAATTGAATCCCACCCCTGAGTATGTTGTGTAAATACACCCATTTGATAGTTCTTCTGTAGACAATTGATAACAGGCCAGGAGTTAAATTGATGATTAAATTTAGCCAGAGGGTGAATATATTAAGTTAATGAAGTAGCTACACTGTATTATGCTGTCTCTAAGAAGGTAAGCAGGCAAAGAGGAATTATTATAAACTCTTTGAACAGCTCCTTGCAACTGTTTGTGCTAATAAAGGATTTCCCTTCAAAAATAAAGTATAACTAGGATTTGTAGAAATTTAGTGCAACTCATCTGAAAGATTATGAAAGACTATTAGATATATATTGCAAAACATTTTTTTAAAAGACCAATTAAATATGGCATATATAAGTCTCAAAACTATATGCTTCCTATTGTTTATTCATTCTTTCAAAATGTGTTGAATAAAGGTGACATGTTTCATTTTGCAGATGACTTTAAAAACATTTTGATGAGGAATAGCAAAGGTAAAGAAAAAACAATTTCCTGGTTTTGCCTTATTTTCTTGGTAACTGGAATATTCTTATTTATAGCCTTATGAGTGGTTCACACAATACAGATAAGACCTGTATTGCTGACTTTCTCTTTTCCATTTAAACCTTCCACGATGTTTTATTTAATAGATTTATTTTAAACTTGAGAGAAGCTGTATACCAAGCAATAAGAACATTTTTTTACAATTTATCTTGTAAAATCACAAATCTCTTTAAGGTTTCAGATTCTTTATTTTTGTATTTTGAAATCAGTTTTTTAAATTATCAATTATTCAAGAGTTTAGATACCAACTACAGGGGCAATCCAGCAACTGCAGGAGTATTCCAGCTCCCATCCTCACATTTAGCTTACAGTACAGTACTGTATTATGTAACCTGGAAATTGTTGCTGGTGCAAAATGCAATAATCAGGTGGCTTAGTGGACTCCTCATATCCACATGTTACTGTTGTGCTAAAATAACTACTTTACTTCTAGTTTAAGATTTAACTATTGGTATATAGGCCCTAAAACAAACAAAATATCTATTAGATTGCCTTCACCATTATAAACCTGCACAATTACTAAGATTATTTGGAAATATTCTTTTATGGGTGACACAATTTGTCAAGTCATATTGCAGTCCCTTGTATATAAGACTTTTCAAAGGTAGCAACTGCCCTTTGCATGCTTTCCAGGTTATTAAACTGTTTAAACACTTAGTGTAAACAGATTTTTTTTCTTTTATCTCCTTTTCATTTTTAATACAAAGTAGTCCACAACTTACAACCATTCAATTAGTGAGTGTTGGATGTTATAATGGCACTGAAAAAAGTGACATGACCGTTTTCCACATTTATAGCAATTGCAGCATTCCCATGGTTCTATGATCAAAATTCAAACACTAGGCAACTCATTCATATTTATGACAGTTCAGTGTCCTGGAATCATATGACCTTTTGTGACCTTCTGACAAAGTCAATGGGTAAGCCAGATTAATTTAACAATGTTACTAATTTAACTACTGTAGTGATTCACTTAACAATTGTGGCAAGAAATGTCATAAAATGGGACAAAACTCAGTTAACAAGTCTTCCTTACATATGACAAAAGAATTAAATAAATGAATGCATGCATGCATGGGCTTCCTAAGCCAGTGTTATAATGCTTGTCAAAAATAGTAATATTTATAGGGAAGAAATAGCTATATTTTCCCATATAGCAATATATTTTGGGTAATTTACAAAGATACTTCCCCCCCCCTTTTAAGCATATAAACCTTGTTAAGGTACAGGATGATGAAAATGCACAGAATGTGTTTATTTCTGGTAATAAGAAAATATGCTTAAATTTCTTTGCTCCTCATTGCCAATGCTTCTTCTTTGTCTGCTTTAATGTAACATTTCATCAAATCCTTGATGCTATAAAACTAAATATCTCATTTTCTCCTGGGGATACTTTTTGATTTTTTTGTTATTTGTGTAATCTGATTCTGATAAATCATTTGTTAATCTCCTCCTCCTCCTCCTCCTCCTCCTCCTCCTCCTCCTCCTCCTCCT